TTCGTAAGTAGAGGTACCACTGTAAAGGCAGCTCTGCTGGTGCTTATCTAATTTGTGGAGATTATAGCATTCATGAATCACTTCCATAGCTTTAAATGAGCCTATCACACTCAGAATATACCATAAAAAATCCTCAAATTTAGCTAAGGAGCAAATACAATTTTTAAAGGAAATACAAAGTTACTCATAAGATGCTAAATGTTCTAAACTCATGTCCTATTAAAAAAGCAAGTACACAAACATGACTGGAAGAATGCATGAGCAAAGTGATTCAGTTCTTTCATTTGCTTAAAGTCCCACCAGATCTCTATTAAATATTTATTTGTATTAAAAAAGCAGCATTCCAAAGGAAATCTGAATGCAAAACGTCAAAATCAGACAGAGAAATAAATCAATACAAAGATTAAGCATGTACTTACTTTGATCCCCAGTGCCAAAATTAGACTGCTGAGTTTCCTGTAAAAACAGAAAAATTTATTACTGTTTAACGGAACATATTAAGAGGAAAAGCTCTAGTCACCCTCATCTACAGTCATGTGAAGAAAAATAAAGTACACCCCATTGAAACTTGTAACTTTTTCAACATACAGATATCTGATCTTCATTTCAACAATACTGATAGATAAATGGGATATAATATAACAAATATCATCCACCTTTTACATTTTTCAGTTGATTGTGTAATTTAAGTAAACATAAATGCAAATTTTGCATGTGGAAAAAGTACAGATTTATGATGGCAATTGGGACCAGAATTTCCATTGCTAAACCCAATCCCTGCAGTCCCTGTTGTTGTTAACCAAATCCAAATGTTGCTAGGTGAGGCAATTTCCTGCTGGCTTCCCACAATGAAAGTCAGTGGGGAAGCTGGAAGGAAGTTGCAAGTCCCAGGCCAGCAAGCAAGTAAATGGCTGCTGCCGGATGGGGCAGGGAGAGAGGGGGTGCAGGGGTGGTGCAGCGAGGTCAGGGAGGGTGAGTGAGGGGGTGCTTGAGAGGCACAGCATGGGCTGGGGAGGGCACGCAAGGGTGCGGAGAGGGTCGGGTGCACAGGGGTACAGTGCAGGTTAGGAGGGTACACAAGAGGTGTGGTGCAAAATTGGGGAGGGTGTACAAGGGTGTGGCATGGGTCAAATATGCAAAGGTGCGGTGCAGGTAGGGTGTGTGAGGGTGTGGTGTGGGTCCGGAAGAGTGCAGAGTGGGTTGGGGAGAGTGTGCGAGTGGCCGCCGTGGCTCGACTGCAGAGGGGCTGGAACAGGGTGCATGGGTGGGGAAGACTTACCCAGTGATCTGCAACCTTCCCTGCCTGCTTCTCCACTGACTTTTTGGGGAAGCCAGCAAGGAAGGTTGCAAATGACGATCACATGATCATGGGGTGTTGCAACCAGTCATAAGTGTGAACCAGTTGCCAAGTGCCCAGATTGTGATCACATGACTGCAGGGGTGCTGGGACAGCTGGAACTCTGAGGACTGGTGGTAACCACCACTTGTTCAGTGCCGTCGTAACTTCGAACAGTCGCTAATCAAATGGTCATAGGTCAAGGGCCACCTATAAGTACAGCCCTACATTTATCACTACCTCAAATACCTAAAACTAGAATCAGATGCACCAGATCAGGTACAAATAATTAAACATGTTTAGAGAAGATCTTGGAGGAACCTGTCTTATTTAAACTTTAGATATTTAGTTTGATTTTCTCTTTGTTGTTGAAGTGTGTGGTATTACCATGCCTAGATCCAAAGAGCGCTCTGAGGCCTTCAGAAATGTTATAGATGCCTATGAGTCTGGGAAGGGATTTGAAAAGATTGCCAAACAATCAGATATCATCAATCAGACATCAATCACTCCCCTGTCCACAAGATCATCTACAAGTGATTTCAAACAACAGCCAACGTGCCCAGGCCAGGTTGTCCCAGCAAGTTCAACCCCAAGAACAGAATGCAAGATGCTGAAAAAAGTATCTAAGAACCCCAGAATTTCATCACATGACCTACAAGTAGCTCTAACTCCTACTGATGTCAAAGTCTGCCTTTAGAAAGAATCTGCACAAGTTAGATCTACATGGGAGGTGTGCCAGGAGGAAACCTTTGCTCTCCAGAAAGAACATCAGGGCAAGACTAAAGTTTGCTCATGAACACCAAGGCAAAGGCTAGTATTAATATTCCATTGGTGTCTCCATGAATACAGTTCAGAAGATTACAGCTGGCAAAGAACACAATTAGATGAATAATGTTGACATATTACAGTCCCTTTCCTTTATATAAACTCACAATTTCTGTGAAATTTTATCACATTGAATGTTCCACAAAGCAGTTAACCTCACTAGTTATTTTAAATCACTTTTATAACTCATACCAGAAAACTCTCATTCATAATTTCTGCTCCCACTTAAGCTCCTATTAGACAAAGGAATGTAAAAAAATGTTTGCCTAAATGCTTTAATTTATTATTTCTTCCTCTCTGGCTATTGAGTTATTAATTGCTATTAAACACAGGCAAAATTTGTTGATCTGGGAATGTTTGGGCAGGTAGTTTCTCATTTTGTCATTTTGCTATTTAATTTTTGAGCAGAGAAACATTAAACTTCATAAAAAACCATTTGAATGATACACACACACACACACAAACACCCTTCATATGTTACAAATCACTTAGTGATGTTCAGAAGTTCTGCCTATCACCAAAATATCAACTTATAATAAGCAAAGGGGATGGGGTAGGGATGAGAAGGTATTTTAGGATCCGCAAACAGATCTCTAGGTAACTGGCTATAAATCTTCACGTTTTGCAGAGCAGAAATTACTTGAAAATAGGAACATTTTTTAAAAAAAGTTGTTGAATAAAAAACTGATCAATGAAAGAAACAAAAATAGTTTCATGAGAAACTACCTGTAAACATAATTACAATATGGGGCACATATTTGGACTAAGCATGTGCTCAGATACAACTTACTTTTTTAATTTTCAGTATATGACCCTACCACTTCTCAGTCTTCTAGATTCTCTGATTCCACCCAGTACTACAATAATGATTTGTTAACATATCATAGTTTTTAATATTTATTCATTAGAATCAACTATCACCAACATAGTACATGTTCATTAGAAATCTAACACTGCATCATTTACACTGGACTGGCTATATTACTAATAAGACCCCTTGAAGGAAATGAAGTGTAAAGTTAGGAAAGAGCAGAACTCAAGCTTCCTGGCAGGATTCCAGTGTGAGTAAGGGATATGATTTAATGTCCAGAATACGTTAGAAAGATGTTTTAACTACAGATGAAATAACAGTGTAAAATTATAGCAACATCAAAAAAACAAACAAACAAGGTTACACAAAAAAGAGAAGTTTCAAGGGCACAAAATAAGCAAAGTGCACAGAATTGAAATAAACAGATTATGAAAATCACACTTCAGAAAATATTGTTTCCTAATTCCAGACTCATTTGACTTCTAACAATAACTACTGTAATATTTAGCATTATCTATTTACCTTCGTTGGGAATGGAAACTTCGAAGGTTCAGTTTTGCAGGGTGTGTGTATCGCAGTAAGTGGCGGTGGCCAAATATGGGTCATCTCCTGTTGTGCACAGAAACCCAAAATATTAAAAAATCATTCTATTTTAATACAATACAATTTAACTATACACCTACAGAACACTATTCAGTGTCACTTGATTATGTTCTGGATTATGCAATGGAAATTCACCGTAATCTCTTCTTCCTTGCTTTCTTTCCCAATGAGAATCAATCAAATCCCTCTTTTACCCCTCAATTCCCCAACTATGGAGCTACAAGCAGAGATGAATCTATTCTGTACATTCAAAAGTAGAGCAAGCGACTGACGTGCAGGGTAGAAAGTATAATTCTGGAAAATTCAGTGAGTTTGGTCCATTTACTAGTGGATCCCATTTCTTGTCATCTGAGTCAATGAAGATCCCTAGTTATTGAGCTGGTATCAAGATTTATTGGCTAGATAAACTGAGGGTAAATTGATAAGATGGAGGCGCTGTGGATCGGCATCTCCATGTTTGAAAAATAGGTACAACTCATTCTAGACAAGGCTATACTCTTATCATGAAATAGTAATAATTTATTAAACTTGTATGCTGCCTGACTCCCAGCAACTCTGAGCAGCTCACAACAATCAAAGAAATTACACTAAAGTCAATAAAACATAAAAGGTAAAAGATGGCAAAGGCAGGTAAAGTGAGACTTCTTCTGCAAGAATTCACTAAAGGCTCAAATGGCTTCAGTAAAGCAGAATGCCTTTAATCAACTTCAGCTGGTTTCTGAGTGTTTCTGGGGTGATCTGATAATGATAATCCAATTCAGTTTTCCGGTTGGATTTCTTTAATTTGTGGACTGTCCCTTGATTATGACCTGAAAACTTTAATTAATGCAGAATGCAGCAGCTAGAACTGGTACAGTTAGATGGGATCATATTACATTTCATTTAAAGACTAGACCATCTGTCTATTCTCAACCCATTTCAAGCTGCTTATGTTTACCTTTAAATCCTTAACTTGCTTGGCAGATAAGTACATGAAAGAGCACCTCTTCCTATACTAAGATCTTCAACAGCAACTTCTCTCTGGATATCTTTGTTCGTGTGTGTGCATGTGTATGTGTGTGAAATAAGTCATTCTCAATGGCACCCATCCTTTGAATATTTTATTTGTAGAAACTTGGCTGGCAGTGACATTGCTATTTGGCACCAAATCAAAACACAATTTGCTTGGTAATTTTAAAATAATAAAGCATTATTTTAATTGCCTCTGAACTATTTTAATGAAGACTGTGTTTGCCCTGTGTATTTTTTTCAATCTGGAATGAATACTTTTAGGCATAACTTTCTGGTGCTGAAGTATCAGAAGTTCAGAAATGTTAAAATGAATTCTGTTCATAAGAAGAAACACTGAAGAAATGCCATGTTGCTGCTTCTCTTTCCCAGCTGTCAAAATGCTCACTGAGAATCTAGAACAGCATCGCAAGGTAGAACTGGCATTTTCAGGGTAAAGGGGAACTAACATCATTAATGCCTGTTTCAGCAAAATGCTCCTGATGAATTTTGCTCTCCACTTTTAATAAAAAGATAAGCTTGGGCCAACTAAAAAAAATGCAGTCTTTAAAAAAATGACTAATAAGATGTTACCACAGAAAAAAAACCTAGAGAGAGAACTAAAAAAAAGTTCTTTAACCCATCAATTTTCTTAATATATGAATATGCTATTCTTTTATAATTGAAGTATGAAATTATATATGAAACTTAAATAACTTTTAAATAGTTTTTAAACAGTTAAGCAAGTAAACAATAGTAGCCAATGTAAAGCTATAACTTACTTTTAGAATCTCATCCACACTGCTCATATCACCCGATGCTGATGCCTATAAATCAATATTGAAAATTTAACTAATCTAGATGTCAAAAGTTACAGCAATATCTAAAATGTTCAACTTCTTCACAGAGTAAAGAGCTACTGTTCTTGCGGGTTAAAAATTCATCTTTAAGCAGTTCAGTCTTCAACTCAATTATGTACTTTTATCTAATAACTGGGCCTGCCCCCAAGCACTAGAAATCTCACTAAAATTCACAGTGGGCTCACTAAAGCCCACATAAATCTCCTAAAATTGTTTACCAAAGTGTAAAAATCTCCTGAAATTGTTTACCAAATTGTAATTCTTAAGGAAAAGTAAGGGGCAAATGATTAAATACATGGGTGGAGAGTTCTTATGTCATCCCTGCCCTCTTGCCTTTTTGAATGGTGTCCTTGGATCCAGAATGAAAAGTCTAAAGCAATGAAAAAATATATCTTCAATAGGAAAATGTGCATGCTCTATTTTATAATTGAAATTAAGTATCATCTAATCTAAACATACTAAAAAGTAATGATACCAGTTTCTCTGACAGATTATCACTCAACACAGGAGATAGAATAAAGACACAAATTACAGTTTTTAATCATCCATCATATATGACACAGTCTTATTTTTCTTTTAAATATAGAGAGTAGGATATAGAATTTGGCTCTGTGGACAGTAGTTTGGATTCAACTCACAGAAGCAACTAATATTAAGATTTGGAATTTAGCTCATTTAATATAATGAAGTCGCCACAATTAGCTGCTTGCATTTCGAATTATCAGAACCAAGTATCAACACAACAAAAAACATTGCTATGTGCTATCAGGTCAGGCCAGCACATTAATGCTAAATTATCAGTAATAATCCACAGAACTGAAAATCAGAACTAATATTGGGACAGCGATGGATTTCTTTTTACTTTTTATTATTTTAGTTTAGTTTAATGGGCCTCACAGTAGAAATATTTTCACAGTAACTTTCTTAATGCTAGTTTATATTTATGGAACATCAGAGGTAATTGTGGTTCCTATTGCTATAACTATCATTTTAAAAAGACAACTTACATCAAGCGGTTGAGAAGGAATTTTCAGCTTTGTTAGATGCACTTTGCTACTAGGCTTCAGTTCGTTCATATTGTTGCTATGAGTCTGGCTACTGTAGTGTTCAGAAGATAACTTTGGTTCCATAGATTCCTGACCATCCATAGGTCTTACATAGGCAGTAGGCTTCTGCAACATTGTATTTGACTTTGACATGAGTGAAGGAGGAAAAGACTGGCTACCACTAGAAAAAGAAGGTACACGGGAAGGTGAATCCCAATTAGCATCTGAGTCTCGTGGAGATTTGGATCGCTGATGTTCCTTACTGTGATGATCATTTCCATGAGATCTGGAATGGCTGGGGTTCAGAGAAGGAACAACAGATGTTTTTCCAGGACTGGAAGAATGGGATTTTGAATGTTCTGATCCATGCTGAGTTTTTTTGCGGCTACTGCTGCTTCCACCACTGCTATATGAGTCACGATCATGCCTCTGTCCACTATTGCTAGTGCTGTTACCACTGCTGCGTTGACTACTATGTCCACCCTGTAAACCTGAGGACCGTTTCTGTGACTGGGAAGAAGTGCTAGGCGCTGGACCCACAGGCGTCCATTTGCTGCTCTGATGAGAGCCAGTATTGTGTCTCTGATCACCAAAGAAACTTTGGTTTGATTTGTCATCTGTTGTTGATGGAACTGTTGGTTTGGGAATTCTAACAAGTTTTTGGAGAGACTGGTCACCTATAAGATCCGTCATTTCATCATAGTTTCCAAGCATGCTTTGGATACGGCTAGACAATTTATCTTCTTTGCTGGTCTGTATGAAGAATAATAAAAAAGATGCATAGCATGATACAGTATTAAAATATACATAATCACATAACTTTTGTATCAGCTGAATTATTAAATGATAATACACATTTGGAAATTATCTATATAACCTTTCCATAGCCATCTGAAGCATTTGGCATTTAAAGCGAAGTTATTTGAAAACCAATCCATCTGCCCACAAAAATTATACATAATGTCTATCCAATAATATCACCAACATTCCTTTGATTTTTAAAGTACACTCAGCGAAAATAGAGCTGTGTATTTTCAGTGATGAATTGGAAGCAGTGGTCTAAATTTGAAACACAGATTACAGATAAAATTGAAAGCAAAAAGTTTCTGGACTTGTAGGCTTTTGAAAAACCAGCAAAAGAACAAACTCCCTTCACTATGCATATGATGGGAAAGTATAATTTTCATCATACTAAGTATGTCTTTCAAAATAATTTTAGTTCTGTAATGAGAAATATTCAATATACTGAACTCTCACGTCAAAAATATACTATTTTTTCTAGCTTTTTTAAAAAGTTGCATTTGTAAATGTGCACTTTTCCTTTAGGAAACTTTTAAAAAATCATTTCAATCTTGCAATATCAATATATTTAAGGCAGACAATTGAATATCTATTTTTAAAGAAACTGATAATCTGTCCTCCTAGCAGAACTCTCACTTACAACATATATAGATCTTTGTTCATAGCGTTGACTAACACTGCAAAAGATCAGAAGATGAACTCTCTAATTCTAGAGATCTGTATCTCCCTTCTTTGAAATCCTCAAGGCATGGCACATATCACTTAAGGCAAGAGAGGAGAACATTCTCAAGGTTGAAGAACGGGTTACTTCCCAACAATCTGTTGGCCTCCCAGTGATGCTATACTCTCAGACGTAAATTTCTGGACCCCTTTATACACTGAGGGAGATGGTGAAAGTGGGAAGACATAGCATTCCCACTCCAACCTTGACAACCAAAAAAAAAAAAAAAGATAAAAAAGACACTGGATTTGTGGTACAATTTCAGTCATTTGGGGGAGTTTGAGATTTTAAAAATGAGAATGGAATGGTCCATTTCCCATGATGCCTCCCACTACCATTCCCACTCTTATTTGAAGGGAAAAAAAATAATGGTAAATTATGTCCCTAAAATGTGACCATTTTGTAATGCAGTGTTGGAAAGCCTGGGGTACTGGGACTTAGATTGGTACAGATCTCATAAACAGAATGGAAAAAACAACAAATTGTCAAACTGTATTTGTTCACACAGAAAGATATAAAAGCTTATGTTAGAAAAAATATTTTTTTAAATCATATTTAGAACTTAATATTTTTTAAAAAAATTAGACTGAGGTAATGAAACTAAAGAAACAACACAAATTAACTAAATATATAAACAAATAAAACCTCTCTCAAGGGACAAAAATATAACATTTCTGGAACCTAAATTATCACCCAGATTCATACAATTAGGGTGGTTAACAAACAAAGCTAGCAAGCAAGTAAATAAATAAAGCTTTTTACACTAAATATCCAGACACAAATACAATTTCCACTCTAAGTGTGTACTATACTGCATTGTCAATTGTCTCCAATCATTTCTTCCCGCCCAGTACATTCCAGCAGAGTGGGTATGCTCCAGGGCCCCTTTATTAAACATGGTCATCTTGTGGGACCAAGAAAGTGTGCCTTCTCTGTTGTGGCCCCTGCTCTCTGGAACAGCATTCTCCTTTCCCTGAGATAAGGGTAGAACCCTTTCTCCTAGGATTCCAGAAAGCTCTTCAAACCTGGCTTTGGTCCCAAGCCTGGGGTTAATGTATTACTGTATTTTTGGGGGCCCTGTTCGGTTTGATTTGTGTTACTTTTAAGATTGTTCTACTCTGTTTTTACATTTTATCTGTTTTTATGGATTTTTTGGTTTTATACGCCACCCAGAGTCCACTGGAGTTGGCCAACTATAACAAATTTGAATAAACAAACTCCACTGGACTGTTTTAATGCAGATGTTATCTACTCCTCTTATTTAATTTTCACCACACCATATTTGCCTTCATCTATTAAGCATGTTATTTAAATCAAAGATGACTGAACAAGTGGGAAAACTTTTCCTTCTTACTGCTTTATTATTTCCCTCTATCTTTTAAAAATAATATTTAAATATTATTAAATATTGAAATATATATAGTACTTTTAAATAAGGGGGACAAGAAGGAAAGCAGTAAGATGTTTTCTCCTTCTGTCATCTCTTTCAGTTTTTAAGAAAATGAAAGCACAAATAAAAGTCTACGCTCAAATAATGTATGCTCCCATGATTAGTAAAATCACTCAACCGCATGAATGAAGCACGTTTTGCAGCATCAAAGTGAATCTCTTATATACAAACAGCCAGACACTAAAAATATCAAGCCCTAACAATTACCTGTCATCTATAGAAAACATTCTTCACGAATCTCAGAAATGTTACTGTCTTGAATCACTCTTTTGCTACAAGGCAAGAGTACATTGTAACAATTATCTCTGCAAGTATTTTGAACCATAATTCTATTCTACCAATTCATATTTAGACAGTTCAGGGGTCAAGTGGTTTGAGCTGTCAGTGCTGGAATACTTCTAAAAGAACGTTGACATGAATGTGCTATTATTCCTTACAATCTTAACATTTCACTATCTGTCTTTCAACATCAAGTTTTTAAAAATAAAATATTTAAATTTATAAAACAATCCTGTTTCTGTCTGTATTTGCATCTAGAGTGTTAAGGCTCAAACTCTCATTTTCATGTTCCTAGAATACTGACTTACATCACTTGTAATTCTTGATTCTGACATTGTATACTTTTAATTCTTGATTTTGACATTGTCTATAACTATACTTACTTAGAAAGTTCATCATATTACTCAGGTTAAAGAAAAAATGTTATCTGTGGTGTGATCATTTTAAACAAAATAACAAACCTCATGCACTTACAACTTTATATGGTTCAGCAAAAAGAGGAGAATTAGGTGGGAAAGCTTCTTCACCCTGTTGAATTTCTTGATTACGCCTCTCTCTTTCTTTAATACGCAGCGCATTCCGATCTTCACGGTTCATGTTGCTATGAAGGAAAACAATTAAGTTATATGACAGGATACAGAAAGTAAGCGACTGTGGTTTTTACAATTTGACAGTCTATAGTCTTGCTCTCTCTTTACAAAAAATATTGCACTGGGCTTTTATTAAAAGTAGAAGTTCCTGAACATCAGAAATTGACTTATGCATAGATACTGACAAAACATAGCCATTTACTTTCATATGAAAATCTATTCTGTGTTCTTTAAATAAACTATTCTTAAATGTATTGTCTAATTTAACAACATTTAAAATGTTAATTATCATTTTTTTTGGTACTACAGGTAGTCCTTGGCTTATGTCTATTTATTCAGTGACCAAACTTGCGACAGCGCTTAAGGGGTGGTACTTACAACCGGTCCTTGGAGTTCTGGCTGTCACAGTGTCCCTACAGTCACAATTTCCAACTTTCCCTGCCGGCTTCCCAAAAGCAAAATCAATGGGGAAGCCAGCAGGAAGTCAGAACCCGCAGTCATGTGTGGTCCTTGCTTAACAATGGCAACTGGGATTGCCGGACTGCTGTCACTAAGCGGCGTGGCCACATGACATTGTGCTTTACGATTGGGTCACTTAGCAATGGCAATTCCGATCCCAATTGCCATCATAAATCAAGGACTATCTGTACTTCATTCAAAATTCTTCATCTGTTCCTCTATTCCTACATACAAAACTTGCAATCTCTTTTCCTTCCTTCCTTCCTTCCTTCCTTCCTTCCTTCCTTCCTTCCTTCCTTCCTCCCTCCCTCCCTCCCTCC